GGAGGTGTGCTTCGTCGTAAATTTCGGCTAGGGCAGCAAAGGTTCACCGGAGAGGAAGCCACTTTAAAGTACGGTGAACCCAGCGCATCAAAAGTTTGCTATGCCGCTTGCTTGTCAAGCTTTCGCATCACGCTTGAACTGATGCGGTGTGCGAGCTTCATCAAAACACTTCAAAGCACTGGAATCCGCAGTAAGTCATGGAGCACTCGCACGAAGAGTATACGCACACCCGAAGGCAGGTAATCCACTGGCTCATGCACGGAATGCAACACATCACGGCACTGGTGAGGGCTCCTTTTGACACCACGCCCGCTTGTCCCGGCGCCACAGTAGCTGTTGCTGAACCGTTCGAAGACAGCTGCGTAGTAAACGCGCACCGTCATTGTCAAAAGAACGCGGCGGTGGCAGCCTACTTGATCGAGAAACGCCGTCAAAGTGAGACAGGCTCCGCCATGGACGTGATGCTGGCGCAAATATTTCACTCGAGGGACGATTCAAGGTAGCTCGATCGCTTCTTTGACAATCTCGAGGAAACGCTCAAGATTTCTTCAAGTGAAGGAAGCGTTTCAAGTGAAGGGCGGTTTGTGAATGGGAAAATGCCACTTAAGGAGCGTTTCGAGTGAAGGGTCGAGTGGAGGAGCGTTTGTGAATACGGGCCTAAGATTCCCGAAATCCTCAGCCACTTTTTTTTTACACTTTGAATTTTCTACCTATGCAACTCTGTTTAATTGCGACTGTGCCACATATTGATGAACTGTCTGAAATGAAGGGGCACGTTTGTTTGATGCTTTTGGCAGAAACAAAAGCCACCTGTTTCGACTTTGATTTACCTATACTATATCCCCCCTCCCTCTGCTCCAAGTTGTCCCCCATCACTTCCACCAGACCACAAGGGGTGCGCCCGACACATCCATGGCTGAGAACCACTGGGTTAGAGCATGGTTGTCCCTTCAATGAAGCTTTGTGATTATTGATACAACGCCCCGTATGTCCAAAATAAAACTTCCCACACAACAGCGGAGTGCGGTACACCACATCGACAGCACTGTCGACCTCTTGGCCCTATGCCTGACCTGGCAAGTACCCTTGCCATGCCGCTCACCTTCCATACTACTTGCAACTGCCATGCAAATGCTGCCTAAACTGTTGCCGGCCGTCTAGGCAGCAAGTGTTTAGGTTAGGATTTCTTGATTGCTCTATTTGATTTGTCACAGTACAGTGTAACAAGAGGGGGAGGGAAAAGCTGTAATGACGGCTTGAGGGATCCTTTGTGAACAATGGCAGCAGCTGAAGAGCATCTAAACATATGATATACTTTTTTTTTACCCCCTGAAACTGTCACATTGTTTTGAGTAAAGATCATGTCCTAAAAGAAAAACTAAAAACGTGGTTTATACATAGCTTTCACAAGAAAGAGACCTGATGCAATCTTCTGCACCTAAAGAAATTACTACATAGTTTACACAACGAAAGAGCCACTAATTCTGTGGCACCTAAATGAGACACATCTATACCATTGTTAACATATTTATTCAGAATTCTTGGAAGAGTACATCGAAACATCTGAAAACCATAATTAGTGTGGAAGTAAGGAGCTTTCCACTTTCTGTATTCCTTGTTTCGTACCTCTTTTCTTTTAAGCAAAGATTCACCATCTTCGTAAACGAAGAGTTTGAGCGTTTGCAGCTAAGATGGTACTCTCGTAGCAGTCTGTAGTGAGGATCATTCACTTTGATTATCTTGTATTTTTAAAACAGTGGGTCACTAGGTGCTAGAGATATAGCGTTAGTTAAGGCTAGGTTCCGGGACAAGGTAGCGCGGGAAATTGAAGAGGCATATCTCATAAAAAAAGCTGGTGATCCATGTGTCGCGCAACCTTCGGTTATGTTACCACTGATATGGCTTTTCTGGAAGCGCATTATTAATTCAATCTGCCTGCTCATCTAATCATTTTTTTTCACCGCACGTGTTCTTGTAACCGCATATATATGTCTGTTTTCTCAAATAAAGTTTCAGTTGTTAGTGTGCACTGCGTCCAGGTGTCTATCTTTTGTGCATCAAATTTTTTTGCGCACTCAGTTAAGATGAATTACCAATTCGCCCTGCAGTCTGTGCTTATCAATGCCAGTGTGATGCTGTAAACTGACGTTTCATTTACTGACCACAAGTTTGGCCAAATAAACAGTTTTCATCTGAACATAGAGTTCAGATGAAACAGTCCCAGAGTCAGGATGGCTTCGCCATCCTGACTCTGGGACTGTTTGGTTCTAAGGCTCACACTGCTGTAAGCTCTGTTTTCTCCTCTCGCGAAGACGTCCGCATCGAAAAAGTTAAATCGGAAGCAAAAAAGCTATGCAAAGACCTTGACCTCCCTCGAGTTGTCGGTGGCATCACAAATAGTAAGCATGACTTTTTAAAAGTGTTTTTTAATGCAAAGACTCACAAGAGCAATATGCCTTTTAGGGTAATTGTTTCAGAATGTGATACTTGGCAGAAATCGATTGCTACTTTTTTGCAAGAACAGTTGAACCGGCTTGACGTTGATGATCCTTTCATTGTAAAAAATTCTGATCAAGTCATAGATTATGTGAAAACTTGTGTTGATGAGCATGTTTATGGTTTTTCAGTCGACGTGACTGATTTTTATTATTCTATTCCCCATAATCAGTTGCTTCCTGCGGTTGAAGAGTGCATAGATTTGTTTGGCTCTGTTAGATTTCAAACCGAGTGTGGTGTTCCTGTAAGTCGGTTTTTAGAACTTTTATCATTTTATCTCAAGACGACCTACATTTCATGGGATGACAAGCCTTTTATTCAAAATGGCGGAATCTGTATCGGGTCTTGCATTGCGCCCATTTTAAGCGACATATTTTTAAGTAGAATTGACAGATCGATTTACCTACATCTTGATAATTTGAAGATAAAAAAAGTGTTCCGGTATGTCGATGACTATCTTACTTTATTAACTAATGACACGGTAGCGGACGAGGCAGGTTTGGCAAAAATAATTTCACATTTTTCGGAGTGTTTTAAACCCTTGACTCTCACACACGAACTGCCTGAGAGCAATGCCATAAAATTCCTCGATGTCCTCTTCACCTTTCATCCTAACCGCATATGTTGGGCTTACCAACCACGTACGAACAAACCGGTCCTTCCTTACCAATCAGCTCACTCTAAACTAGTGAAAAGAGGCATCATCAGTCATTGTTTTCGTCATGCTTTAAGCAAATCTTGTGAGCACGAAATCGCCAATAGTTTTCATAATCAGTCAGACCGTTTGTTGAAAGCAGGTTATCCTATGCACGTCCAAACTTCAGTTGCAGAAAGCTTGCTTCGTACGCTTCGCAACCCAGGATGTACAGCGAGTCGTGATGCCGAGAAACCGAAGCACCTAGTCGTCATACCGTACTTTCACAAGATATCGCACAACCTAAAGAAATTAGCTAAGCGCTCTGAAGTTAGGGTTGTCTTTTCGGCTCCCAAGAAGTTGGTCAGCCTTTGTGGCCTTCATAACCGTGACGAAAAACCCAAAGAATTTAGTAAGAAGCATCGAACTGTTTATGTCCCCAGCATCATATGCGTTGTTTATCGCATCCCGCTTTCTTGTGGTAAAGAGTACATTGGACAGACGGGCCGTTGCCTTAATGATCGATTAAGAGAACATTGTAATAATGTGAAAAACGGCCAGGGGAGTTGGTTGGCCATACATTGTAAATCCTGCGGCTGCGCGCCGATATTCAATGCATGCACAGTTATCAAGAGAATGTTCGATAAGCTTACTAGAGAGATTATTGAGGCTGAGGCTATCGCTTCACTGGGGTCTAAGTGCGTCAGCACTCCCTCTCTTACGCTTAGTGATAAAGAATTGTATTTTCTAAGAAATTAATTTTTTGTGCGCATCTTTCATGTCATGTGATTTTTTTTTTTTTTGATATAGGCGAGCGTGCGGTGGTAATAAACATTATGTTGGAAGTTAGCGCCTGTGCTGTGTGTCCTCTTCTTGTGTCCTCGTTTTTTAGCGCTATTTTCAGTCGTCACAATGCACCAACAAGCCCAAATTTCGACAGTGTTCACATGGCTACATGTGCCCGCTCTGCAGTGTACCGGACAACTTCGCACACTTGCTCCTGGAATGCCAGTGCCATGCAAACCACGACATGCAACCGAAGCGGGACCAAGCAGCAAGAATGAACGACGTCCACCTAATCAAAACGTGGAAGGCCAAGCTCGTCCTTGAAGACCTGGAAGACCAGCAACAACTCGTCGCCAGAGCCAAGAGGGCAGTCGAAGCCAGAGGGTTTCTGAACTAGGGAACCCTCCCGCTGTAGGGTGATACCGGGCCTCGCTTGGAACACTGTTTCTAAATAAACGTTTATTTCTCTCTCTGTGGCTGCAATTTTGAAAATGTGCCACTGAATTCCGCAAGCGTGGAGTCCTGTCATTTTAGAACAGCGGACATGAGATTCAAGGTCACAGGAATGTCCAATGAGCTTGATGGGAGAGAAAACGGCCTTATCTGGCACAGAGAACACGACAAGTTTGCAGAAGGAAGAGGAGGCTCAGAAATAACATTTGTGCAATGGCATGTAAATGACACGTCTTTTTTTTTTCCTTCCCCTGTACAAGCAAGTACTGTAAATTAATAAAACCAAGTGCTGCTGAAAATGTTAAAAAAAAAAAACACACTTGAGCCGTTTTCTTGTTGTGAAGGCCACAAGTTTAATTTTCCGCATAAACATTGGTAAGCAAAACCTGCAGCCATTCCACAGGTGTATTTGGTAATAGGTGATCTAGACAAATAAATACAATTAAACATCTATACGGACAATCAATGGGCCAGCATATTAGCCAGCAGTAACACCATTAAAGAAAGTAGATCTATTAAGTGTTACTATTATGAGAGAAGTGTTTAATCTCTGTTGGAAATTTCTCAATTCTTAGCTTTTCTGGATGACTGCCAAATACAAACACAACTAGTGGCCATTGTCTGAACTCACCAGGGCAAACTTGTTCACTTGGACGTACAGCACTTCCACATCACGGGAGGAGGCACACTCGCCCCTGCCTGCTAGCCTGTGCCACTCGTCCAGGTAGTGCTGCAACCAACAAAGCTGGAACTCGCGGTCTGGATAGAGGGAGCTGTCAAAACGCTCCACACCTGAAAAAAATACATGGTGCAATGAAAGTCAACAATGATGTACAAGTACATAAAAAATTGCCCTCCACAAACTTGCAGCCTAAAGTTACAGAGAAGTACAGAGGAGGTTTCTAATGAAAAAAAAATACATGCCAGCTCCACTGCTGTGAAACGTGAGGAAGTGCATAGCACAGGCGATTGCCGTTTCCAGAGTCGCCACTGTTTGAGGGAAGCTTTGTGTCCACAGCACGGGTTCTCTAGCTGTGCGCTACTTTTTGCTGCACTTTATTGATTTTATGCTTATTTTGGCACATGCTGTCCACAGCAAGTTCAGTCCGGGTGGTTTCCCCCTAAAGATGCGCAGTGGCTTCGAGGAAGCGTAGAGAAAAGAAAGGGCACTTGCTCACCTGTTGGCACCCTATTTTGCATGGTGCCATAGCCAGCTGCAGGGTTTTTAAATGTTTTTAGCAATTTTAGTTCAATTTAGCGATTACTTCTTGGCTATTTGGTTTAATTATGTTATATTAAGAACTCTTCATTCATTTTAACCCGGGCTTGAGAATTGATAGCCCTGTTATGGCCTGTAGTGAGCTCGTTGCCGCGAGCGTGAACACGAGATGCATAGATGGACAAGCAGCACCCCTGAAGTGCTCAAAACTAGAGCGGTGGGAATAGCAAAACTTTAGGTGCAAAGCAAATTCGAATCGTCAAGTGTGAGTGAAAATAGAATTGAATATTTATCGAATATTTTAAAATGTTTGTCCAATAGTTCGAAGCGAAATTGCAGAAAAAACTAGTTGAAAAGCATTCCTAAGCATACTTTTATGAGACAGCAACATGAAAATGTTTCTGCTTGTTAAGTTAATGAATTACTGGTGGAGGGGTGTTTCACAGTTGTCTTATCAAGAATCAGGCAATGTGGAGGCCAAATACTATAAATGGACATGATTTAGTTAGTGGAATTAATCTGTTGCCGAGAACACTTTACACGTGAAAGATAAAGAGGCTATTTTTTCATTTTCTCCTGCTCTTTCAACATCGGATGTGGTGGACAAAGGTGCGCTCCCTTCAAGCCTGCCGATCCAAATCAGCCCCGTAAACGTTAAATTATAGAACATCTGAAATTTGGAATGCTAAAAGTTTTTGGCGTCCAATTTACGGGCTTTTAGCCCAAATTTCAAACTCAAAACACTAATGAGCCCTCATCCCTGCCAAATCTGTCATCTCTATGTCGGAACCAGCATTCTTTTTTCATTCCTTTTCTTCTTTCTAGTCAATTATGTGCATCCGTCCAGGAGACTGAAAGGCAGCTTTTTCACAGTGCTAGAGTGTGAAAAGGTGAAAATTCGGAAACTGCCAAACAAAATAATAATTGCTTTAATTTTCAAGCTCTAAATAGCAACTTTTACATGATTCCGCAGTTGAATTCTCTAAAACGCAAGTTCAATGCATACTTTTATGTACGTCACAAATTCTCCATACGGCACAGAAGCGAGGACCTTGCAACAAAAAACGTATTTCAGAACTACATAACATGTGTTCCACCTCTTTGGTGCGTCCACATCAAACAAATAAAAATATTGAAAATAGAACTTACGCCACCCAGGTGAAAAAAATGAAGTGAGAGCTTTTCCATGCACTCCGTGCTTTTCGCCATCAGCTACAAAACAATTATTTCTAGCAAAAAATACCTTGGACTAGATGGCGCTAGAGTTTTCATGCTGAAAGCAACATTCCCCATGAGTACTTGACAACCGGCATTAAAGACAGCACACATACCATCACTTGCTTGATCGAAGTTGTTCAGTATGCCGCGAATTCGCGACATTTGGCAGTAAAGGGTTAAAAAATTGATGGGGCCAATTCAATGTTGACTATTTGTTTTTGGGAGTCGAATAGTTTTGAATAGTGAAATTCCAGTGCAAATCGAATCAAGTAGCAAACACTATCAGAAAAAATATTTGAAATTTCCTATATTCGCACACCCCTACCTAAAGCTCATTTTCGTTTGAGGTTCGATTTCTGGAACAATGCCTTGTAACTTTGTGCTACTAATCGGTAGGCGGCAACTTTCTTGTTTAAGATTCATACTACATCTTGTGGGATTCTGGAAACAACACATTAGCGATGTACCAGAGACTACAAATTTGTGCAATGTTACATTGCAGACAGCGTAACAAGTACTTTATTCTTGTCACAATGTCCTAAGGATACCTCAAAGGCAGAATTTTCTACCATTCCAGCGACTATAGGCAGCGCAACAGTAGGTCAAAATGGCGGACGAGACGGTGATGAGGCGATCTCGCAAGTGTGCGTGTCTGGACTAGAAAAGGACATCAGGCCTCTTAGTTTCCCTGCAGACTCTACTTTCTCTCGATAAAGAGACGCAGACATGCTTGAATGAAAGAAAAGCAATCGCCCACATAATTTGCCTCACCGCTGGATAAAACAAAAAAAAAGAAGGTGTGGATTGTTGTGTGCTGCCGAAGCCTTACTCGGGCCAATGGTTCACCTCGGGCCCGCTCTGTATCACACAAACTTGTGCGCTCGGCAAGTATCAATTACAAATTACATCACTTACAAGATATTTAAAAAAACGCGAACAAACTTACTGCATTACAAATACAATCGCATATATAACAGATTGTACAGGAACATTTCGAGGCTGTGGAAACTGAACACACGCAGGTTCAGTTTTTACAAGCTGCAAATTATCTTTTTGTGCACTTTTCTTTCTTCACATTTACAGTACTATTACCTTGCATTATATCGGATATACTTTCCTTGACATCATTGTCTGTTAGTTCTAATTAACATTAGGTAATGACACAGGCACTGAGCGTTTAACTCCAAATTACCACATTTCGGTGGGGGCGATATGCAAGAATACTTGTGTAATCATGCCTAAGTGCACAACGAAGAACACTTCGAGTCCTCGTATACTCACCACATATGTGTAGCCCACAATTCTGATTGATTAGATTGATTTCTATGTGGAGTTCAAAGTAGAAAAACCACCATATAAAATTTAGACCACCTGAGGTACTTTAACATACACCCGAATCTGAGCACACGGGCCTACGGCATTTTTGCCTTCATCAAAAATGCAGCTGCCGCCGGGATTCGATCCAGCAACCTGTGGTTGAGCAGCCGAGTACCTACGCCACTAGGCCATCGCAACAGCAGCCTACAATTCCTCGAATGCATCTCGAATATTTCTGTTCCAAAATCACTCAAACGATCGCCAGCGCTGATCGTCGTCCCAGCGACTCTTTTCAAAACAGTGCATGAACAGCGCCATCAGTCGATTTTTCAAGATTAACCGTCAACACTACACGGCTCACACGAAACGCTTGAAACATCAAAACTTCTTGGTCGAGTTCACCACTCGCCCTGCCCTCCGTCCCCTCCCCCTTGAATCCTTCCCAGTTTCACAAATATATTAAATGATTGTTCGGAGCGCAGCACGAACCACAGCGACAGCTATATAAGGAAAAGGAATTCGTCTCGGCGGTTCGCAGCCCAACTATGATGTCTCGAATTCTCCCGATATGCGCAGGCATTAGTCTGTCGCGTGGCATGCGACAGACTAATGCCAAGATATAAACAATTTAACAGCCAAGATATAAACAATTTGTATCTTACACCATGCTAGAGGGTAAGGGCATGTCCTGGGCGCCTTTTGATACTTTTGTTTTTCGTTGCAAGCGCCTGTTCAGGGAGAATGGTTACTGCGGTCGCTTGATCCTATCGTCTGGATGCGGCAAAGCTCGTCTGCGTTAGCGCTTGTTTGTGAGGGAGAAAAAAGGCTCTATTACGAATTTTACGATTCCCGACAATGTATGTCGCAGAGGAATACGTGGTCATGGGCCCGCCGCAATGCGTCGGCGCCTCAGTGCGTGAAGGAGCGCCCATGATTACTGTGATACGAACTCTGAATCCCACCGAATTGCGTTGCAGACTGTTATCAGCGTGTGGGAGCTTCGGAGGCGGGCCACATGGCGCCGCCTGCGTCGCTAGAATGACTGAATCCAATTATGTGCATTTTTCAACAGGTTACGGTACTAGAGGCGACATAGTCTTTCAAGTGCTTCATATCAGTCAGCTAATCATGTTTTAAAGTTTTCTTCCTTTCCGCAAACGATCATTCAGTGAAATGCCCCAGTTGAAACTGACAGCATAGTAATGTTTGACTCAATGCTTGCCAGTTGATTATGCAAAGTTCCTTTCTTTATATTTCATGCCTTTTGCTTTGCTTGAGCGAGTTGTTTTTGTTTCAAAAGTTTATTATGTGTTATTCATGATTGTAACCTCAATCTGAAACGACTTCACCAGAAGTTGGCAGTATTGTCAAATAAATGAATAAATAAATTTATACAGACTGTCCTCATAAGTGAACAAAATATGATTTCCTAAGTCAGAAATTTTTATTTATGCGGCACATATTCACAGTACTATAATTGTTCGAGTCACTGTAATCTGTGCCATACAGTAACATGAAATGGCAGGCTCAAAGAATGGGTACCGTCACCAAGTAGACTGCACTGAAGTGTTTGCAACATAAAGATTTGGGCAGGTTGGTGATGCATGATGGACGAAAGGACAACCACCGAAACTAGGACTTACATGCTTATTTATTTTGGTTCATCATGAAGTGCTTCCACAGGTGACAGCACAACCAAGTTTGGCAAAACAATTTTGCCAGTCCTGCTTGTTTCTCTCTTACATTTTTCTCATGAGAAAGCACAAAAACTGAATTTGCAAGCCGTAACAGCTGTTAAGCACTATTATTAGCAATATCAGTGTAAGTGCATGTGAGTTCCAACTCACCTCCAAACTCACAAAAGTGGTTCCCTATGTCCAGTGCCTGGTAGTTGTTGTCAGCATACTCAAAGTCAATGAAGATCACTCTGCCTGTAACAGAAATACAACTGTTGAAGCACTTCTAAACCACCTCCCTGACACTTTTTTCCCACATTTCAAGTAGGCATGCAAATTGAGTTCACAATGAGGCCACAATCAGATATACTGAATGCAACAGCACCTCATACTACAAGAATGCCATAAGATTAAGATCAAGCCAGTCAGTGGTCTTCCCTGCTTTTTCAGTGTGTCCCCTCCTAAAGCTCATGACATCAGCTGGTGCACCTAGTGATGTCACTAGGAATAGTCGCTGCTTATTGGTCAAACAAGACTTTTCCTTTACATTGTGCTTTGTTTTGCGTCCTTTGGTATTCTGCGGCCAACAAAAAGGAAACAAGCACAGCACAATACACGCGATCCTCACAGCTATTTATCACAGCAACCAGAACACGAAGAAAGTGTGGAAAAAACAAAACCACCAAGAAAGTCAATACAGAATTACCCTGTTTCTCTTGGTAGATGATGTTCTTGACGAGCAGGTCATTGTGGCAGAACACGACAGGCGAACCCAAGCCCGACAGGTGCTCTTCAAGTAGCGACACTTCCAGTTCCAACTCTGCTTTGCTCGGGATGCACGACACAAACCTGTGTGAACACATGCCAGTTGAGGCTTGAGCCCGTGAATTGTCACAGAAGCATTGTGACGTTTGAAAATAGTTCAATATAAAGAATAATTAGGTTTGACCGCGTTCAATATTGATAATACCATATTTTGCGCTTCCTCCTTCTCTTCTTCAGTTGGGTTCAACTGTATCATATATGATGCACACTGAACAATCTTACCGTCACAAAGAAAAGCATGAGCACACAGCTAGAACGCATTTCTTTTTCTCACAATCTTATTGAAGCGTGAAGTTTTTCTTCTAAGTCGTGGTAGTGCAAAAAGTTTCGTATCCATCAAGAATGAACAGGGATTTTCTTGCACACTTTTTTTCATCACTTGTTCTTAGTAGAAGCTACACAGGGAGGCATGGCAGAGAGGTTAGAGCATGTGATGAAACCCAACTGCTCTCCCATTGCAATTCCTTCATGCTCGAGAGTGATTGATATGTGGGGTTTAACGTCCCAAAACCACCATTTGATTATGAGAGACGCCGTAGTGGAGGGCTTCGGAAATTTTGACCACCTGGGGTTCTTTAACGTGCACCCAAATCTGAGTACACCGGCCTACAACATTTCCGCCTCCATCGGAAATGCAGCCGCCACAGCCAGGATTCGAACCCGCGACCTGCGGGTCAGCAGCCGAGTACCTTAGCCACTAGACCACCGTGGCGGGGCCATGCTCGAGAGTGGCTACAGTAGAATGTTCGCAGACTACTGTGCGTGGCACCAGCACACGGCAGCACCATGAGGCCGGAAGCACATCTGACCCAAATGCTGCTTTTGATTTGTGTCAGCTATTAGCCAATAGCATGCTATTCGACATCAAACAGCAGGCACTCCGAAAAAAGTGAGCACTGATATTTGTTCCAAAAGAGGGTACGTGAGAAAACAGCAACTTCGCTCTTTGCTTTTTGGTATCCACTACTACAAGATTTGGCTGAATACATGGGCACAGTAATGTATGCTTTCTTTAGGATGTTTTCTCAACGAGCCCAAGGTGTGGTAAATAATTCCTCTTACTTGAGTTTTCGCCTGCATTCAAATCAGATCAGATCAAATCAAATTTATTTCAACATTCAAAGTTGAGGACCATGCACTAAAAGCCGGCAAGGCTTGACGAGGTCCATGGCCACAATTTTCTAAGCAGAAACAATAAATGAAAACAGCAGTTCAACCCTAAAACAGAAATTATAGGCTGGTGATGCAACTCATAAAATACGTTGTGCAAACCTATATATTGTACTCCCCATTGGTAAACAATGAAAATCTTAGAAGCAAGCAAGGCACATAAAAAACATAACCAAAACGGAAAAAAAGATACAAAAATGTGTACTACATAAGTTTTTTGGGATGCAAAAGATGAAAAAAAAATCCCTAATACACAAAAACATTTCACTCCAGTAACAATACAAAAGTTGATCGGCAGAATTCATAGAAGAAGTAGAAACAAACTTTTTATACAAAAATATATACCGCATTATAAGTGCTGCCACATAGATGTTTGCAGAGGCACATACGGTTACTCTATCACACAATATCATGAAATGATACATAATGTTTTTTCTGTTTAAATGGTATGGCAGTTTATAACGTAACATTTGGTTCACTTAATTCGATTAACAAATTATTTCTACATGTTGTGCTTCTTAGCTTTTTGAACTAAGTAGCTTTCCTTTCTTTCGTATAGGGTTCTTTGCAGCTTCATGCTAAAGTAGGGGCCATAAAGTATGGCTGGCTATGACTTCATTGTTTAAGACCCCTTGGCACTTCCTTGGCACAGAGCACAGGTCAAGTAACAACTAACAACTATGACTTCTCATGATTTCAAGACTCAACCTTCTTCTAATACAGACTGCAGAAGACCATTGCAATCAACTGTTACATATATTCATAGGGAACTGGAAACTCGAGCTGTTTGTATTGTTCAATTTCGTGTAAACGAGGGAACTTCTCACCGATTATTAGTAGCAATTGTTAGCTTTAAGATATAAGTACACCTCGTTTTAAGGCAAACGTAAGTGCACATCTGAGTTGGCAGCATATCATGCACCTGAAGGACTCATGCTGAAGAGTTGTGTCAACTGCAATGTCCTGGTGCCGTATAGCTCTCACTGATTGGTGCCTTGCCTACAATATCCCCTGACAGTTTCCTTCTCTTCTTTATCTATTCTTTTTACTTTTTTTCAGTGCTCCCCTCCTCAAAAAGTTAAGCTACATCATCACATTCGGCAGACAGAAATGAGCTCCTTTCCTTCAAGAACCGCTCACACATACATCATCACATTGACAATAGCACGACAACAATAGGGGATTCTCTCTGACAGTACGAGGACACAAAATAGTGACAAAGGCCAGCTAATGCAAAACCTGCAAGGTTGAGTAGGCACCAAACTCCACATTTAAATGCTACCGAAACACAGATTCACAAACTAATGCATTTTGTCCATGTTGCAGCAATGTACGTTGCAAAAAGAGCCCACCTGTCAATGAAGAAATGGCAAGAGCACCTTCAAACTTTGCTACTTACAATAAACATACACTTAGGTGCAGCAGATTCAGAACAGATCTAGTTGCAGGAGTAAAAACAAGCAATACAGTATCAAGCATCTGCAAGCATGCAGGAAAAGAAGAACATAAAATATAGACATGCATTAAAAAATTACATAACAAATATAGACAAGCCATGCATGTTTCAATGCAATGGAAGCATGTGTAAAGTGAGGAAGCATTATTAATATTCGCACTTCAAATCCAGTCAACAGAAACTGCATCATCAGTTATGCCACACCAACTGCTGAGTGGATTGGTGAATGAGGCGAGTGACAGCACCGGTGCCCGTGAATAAATTTCTGCAAAATGAGTTGCATAACAAGTTCACAGTTGCAGTGGGGGCTTATAAGCAGCTGCTTGGTAGAAAACAGTGAGGCTGAAGATGTGCAGGAGGAGCAAGCCAGAGCGAGAATCAAGCTGGCCAGGCTGAAAAGTGGCAATCACATTAGCAAGATTCAACAAGAAAGCCAGATGGCTTCCATGTATCCAGCAACTAATACTCGCCTCTCGCTAAATCCATCAGGACAGGCACACAGCAGGGTGGCCCCCATATTCAGTGCCATTCACAGAGAAGATCAAAAGAACAGAAAATGTGTTGTAACCAAACATGATCCAAACAAAACAGAGGAGAAATAAAAAGGATGAAATAATAGTTACATGCCATAACATGCAACTCATGAAGAAAATTACTTTTACACTTTTGAAATCAATGTGCGATGTCTTGCATTATCTGAAGCTAATCTCAGTAAAGCACTGCATTACAAATGCAATTTACTTTGCCTCTGTGAATGCTGTGCGTTAAACATCTTTTTGTGAACCATTTGGATTGTCTGCACTGACTGTGGCTCACTCAAAACACTACAACAAATTTATTTATTTATTTATGAGAATACTGCCAGTCTGAATGCCAGACTTTGGGCAGGAGTAGGCAGTACAATCAACACAACAATATGCAGGAAGTACAAAAAAATATTGAGTAGATTATACAGCAGTACAAATATTGCGTAGAAAAAGAAAAGGAACATGTTTATTCACATAGAAAGAAAACAGAAAATGCAGGCCACAAATGTTGTGCCTTACAGAGCAATATCAAAAACTGCGTGAAAGCAGTGCTTGGCAGATCTCGCTGTGCACAAAAAAAGAGAAAAAAAGGAAAAAAGGGCTAGTACAAGTATAATCGGTAACACTGCAAAAAGTACATCCGGGCATGTTAGTTGCAAGCGTGGCAAATTGGTGAGACAAACATTTTGACAAAGACTAAGATGGGCACAAGAAGAATCGCACTGTAAAGAAAATGGGAGTTGGAATACCTGACTTAGACATTAGAGAAACTCCTGTTTTAGTGGGATGAACTCAGTGAAGATGAAAGGGGTACAGTGAGAGTTGCAAAGATGCTTGCTGCCTACCTGAGGTTTTTTTCAATGTCGTCGAAATGCGTAGGCACCAGGCGAAGGTACTTGTGCAGGGTGGGGAACAGAGAGGGCGCCACCTGTCCCCCCTTGTGTAACTTCACAGAGTGCATGCGTGCTAGTGTCTGTGCTATCAGCCTGCAATCAAACACAAACTGCACTCCTCAGGTCTGGGTTCATTCTGAAGAACAAAAGATACCTTCAAGAAGCAATAACATTATGGTAAATTGTCCCACATTATCACAAAGTAAGCTTTTACTGTCTCCCTGCATTTGGTCTTGACTTGTTTGATAAAAGTTACACTTTGAAAAACAAAAAAACAAGAGCAAACAGCCTAATGATGGCATTCAGAGGCCAACACCACATATAAATATTCTTCGTTGAAAAAAAATCAGGAAACTTCGTTACCTTTCTTGCCATCTACGTAATTGTGCCTGTTGAGGGTGCTTAAAATCCAACTGCACTGAAATTTGACTAGAGGAGAATCGGCTCGAAATGCATAGCATAAGTTGGGTAAGCAATGATAACGACAGTAAAAAAGCTTGCAATCGTGGATTTCAATAATAATGGGTGCTCTAATTTTCAACTAGAAAATAACACAGAACCCCAGTGGTACGCCCGAGCAAATCGAACCCACTCGGATATGACGTCAATCGCAGCTCACTACCGCTCGTGAGTAGAACGCCCTGCAGCTGCATCCCATCATTTTCAGCGTGAGCCTCCTTACAATTGAATAATTCTGAATAGCTACTCATTTTGTTGTATGAAATGCGGTGCTATAGGCTGCTGGATAATATGTTCCAGCTGGGACCGGCTTTTAAGATTTCCGAACAACAAAGAGCTTCAAAAGCTGCCGGTTATCGGAGTGAAGTGAATGGAATTGGAGAACATGGCGCTTTACACGGCGCTCTTCAGAGATGACAAAATATGAATGCACCCATTGTCTCTTCACCCAAATAGTGCTGAAACAGAAAAGAATGTTTAATCCTGATGCAGTGCCTCCAATATTCAGCCACTGCAAACACAACAGTGGTATTTGTAGAAAACAGCTTTAGTATAGTGCAAAATGCTTGTGTTAGCGTGTTTCGCTCACTGAATTTATAGCGTAACGCCATTCCAAAAACTAAACCAATGAAACGAAGCCCCCCGATGTGCTGGACTACCTGCACCATGTAGCTGCATTAGCTGCACCAACCAAAGCTCCAAAAGCTTATCGGCTCACTTCTAGTAGTGCTTGTAAAAGCAGAGAAGTTCAACAGAAATGTAATCATGCTTTGTCCAAAGCAACTTAAGCACATAAACATATTAAAAAAAAATTAATGGTGCTGCCTTTGATCCATAGTAATAGTTCTTGGTGCAGTCACCAAAGTGTTTACAGAAATCCAGGGACACTTTTGGCAGACATGGAAGTGTGCCATACCAAGCATAGGAATTGAAAACAACGCCGCCATAGCATCCACGTTTATTAACAAAGCGAAAATATCTGAAGCGTAACCCTGCAGCGCGAGTTACTGTGAGCCAGCGAGTTCTTCAAGAAAGCAGGACAAGACGGTATGGTAGGCACGAAGCCGGCAGTCGTTATTTAGAGACACACTTTAATCAACACTTATGAATATGTATTCTTTGCGGCGCATGCTTACATGGTTTGCTTTTCGTTACCATCTAAAGGGACAACTCTGCGACACAGCCACGAAGTGTATACTTCAGAGCAAAGAGCAGATGATTCGTCTTCATCAATCGGTTTGTTGGGTGTCTGTACATCAATTACGGCCTATTGTAACAATGTCGTTTTTAATACGACGGTGTTAAAGAGCTCCTTTCGCAATAAATTCTAGTGTTGCGTTCGACGTCGGCATCGGCATTGTTGATTGTGAGCGAATCATCTTGTGCGTGAACAAAAAATCAAGAAATATGCAAAACAACAAACTAAATATTTTCGGATTCGAGTCAAGATCGTACCCAGGCGGTTTGAATGGCAATCAAGTGTTCTACCACACAGCCGTGCCTCTGCTTGGAAATACAGTGAAAATAACTTTCTCCGCTTAGAAGCCAATGAAAATGACTTTCGTGTTTTACAAATACACGCGTCCTGTATACGGGCTTCACACTACAATGTGTTATACTATCGCAGCAATATTGCGCAGGATAAATGTACATTGCCACAGAATGTCAGAACATGTTTATCATGACAACTCCATCGTTTGAAGCAGGCCACTCATAGAGGAAGGCACACACCTTACTGTGCATACTTTGTTAAGACAACATATCAAGTTCGGAAAGATTTCACGTGCATAACTGCTGCTAGTTTAAAGCGTACTACCCATTACACAAAATGACGCTATATGTCAATGTTTCAATGACACAAGCCACTTAAATTTATCGATGACACAATAAAACTTCCTCTTTAGCTAGTTGGTGTTGCATGATGATGATGATTTATAGTGTTTTGTGGTGCAAGGGCCATTTAATGGCCAAGAGCACCAGTTCATGGGACTAAAGATGAGGACAATAATTGTGATAAGTAGCTCTACAAGGCCTTAACATTCCTTACGCTAAGGCGGATAAAAACATAGAAGTAATTAAATCATGACCATGTCATGAAATTAGTGTAGAGTCAATGGATGACGAAAGTTTGTGATAATAAAAAAACCATGGTGGACATGTATGGCATTAGCACAAGTGCCTCGATCGTCCATGCCCCTGCGTCCAAGGGCAGTGAGGCAAGTGCTTTGTTCAGAGTAGCCACCGCAGCGGAGACCTCTCTGGAGAGGTTGTACTACGGAATGCCCGGGCATATGACATAAAAGGTACGAACTTCTCTCAAAAAAGCCAACACTGATTTATATGTTAAAAGTGGTTCCCTACCGACGAACACTGTAGGGTGAAGTGGTATCTGTTGACGGTAGGGTAATGGAAAGTGTTGTCTTCTCAGGGTGTCTAACAGTTTACACTGGATTAGTATGTGAAGTACGGTAAGTGCTTCTCTACATCTGTCACACAAAGGTGGATTGCCACCAGACAAAAGAAATGAATGGGTTGTGTGTGTATGTACTGTTTTTAACCTTGTAAGTATTACTTCCATGTGGTACAATTCTAATACTGGTGGCCAATGACCAAGTTGCGGCTTGATAACATGCAGTTTATTACCTGTGTGTGTGCCTAACGTGCTCTGCCAATAACCCCTGAGCTTTCATTTTAGAAAAGGCTTGAAGTCAAGTGCAGGAATCGGTATCAATGTATTGTTAGCGGTTTTGTTAGCCGATCCAGCTAGCTGGTCCACCAAAACGGTGCCCAGTATTTCGCAATGACCTAGCAAACATGCTGTTTGGATGAGTAGACTGTGCATAAAAGTGAGTAAAGTGAGACAAGGACGTGGTTTTTGTGCTTATTAAGAATTTTCAGAGCTTTTACCATGCTTCGAGAATCTGTGTATGATATTGCCTTCTGTAGTTTTATTTGTTTAATGTGTTTAACGGCTGCAGGTATCGCATAAACTTCGCCGGTGAAAATGCTTGTGTCACAGTGCAGAACGCCGAATCCCGAAAAGGATGGGCTGATGGCTGCGTACAAGACAGAAGTGTTGGACTTTGAAGCATCCATAAAGAACTCGGGACATGTGTATTTCAGTTGTAGTTCTAGGAAGTATGTCTGAATATGTGCAAATGGTGTGTGCTTTCTAACCTTTAAGAAAGACACGTCGCAATCTATCGCCTGCCACTGCTACGGAGGCAGGCACACTGCGGAAGCCATCAAACGGTGTTCAAGTGGCACACCAGTTTCCTTCGCCAGAACCCTCACACGCAGTGAGTATGGCTGTCTCATAGCAGGCCATTTTTTAAACACAACAGAACTTCAGATGTCATTAATTTTAGAATGCGAAGAGTGTTCCTTGTCTGCGTTCACTTTAAGATAATATTTAAAACACAAATAACATCTCTGTAGATGGAGCAACCATCCGTTTGATTTCACGTACAGGTTTTTCACAAGGCTAGTGGGAAGAGCACCCGAAGAGAGGCAGATGCCTAGATGATGTACAGGACCAACCATTTTAAGGGCAGTAAGTGTGGCAGACTGATGATATGCTAGTGCCCGATAGTCTAGGCGAGTATGTATGAGGCTTTTGTACAAATTCATCAAACACTTCTTGTCACTTTCTCATGTAGTGCAAGACATCACTTTTAGAACGTTCATGGCTTTTATGCACTTCTTTTTCGAATACTTGATGTGTGGTATGAAGGTTAGCTTGGTATCCAAGATTAGGCCTAAGAATTTTTATGCAGTATTAACAGAAAGACGTTGCCCATGCAGTTGAATATCGGGTTCGAAATGAATGCCTCTCTTCCTGGAGAACAAGACGTGCCTTTCTGCGCATTCAGTCGGATCCTGTTTTCTTCTGCCCAATTGGAGACTTTGTTCAAACCAAGGTGAACCTGCCGCTCACACATGGCCAGATTACAAGACTTAAAACCAAGCTGGACGTCGTCGACATATGTGCAGTAAAACATATTTTGAGGGATGAACAAGCGCAAAGAATTCATTTCGATAATAAATAGTGTGCAACTAAGTGACCACCTTGCGGCACTCCTGCTTCTTGTAGAAATGTTTGGGAAAGAATGCTGCCCACTCGGACACAGAATGTCCAATGTGACAAGTCCCTTTCGATTATAGCAAACATTCTGCGCCGCATGCCAAGGTGGGCCAGGTCTCTTAATATTCCAAATTGTCATGTCGTACCGTGAGCCTTTTGGATATCGCGGAATACAGAAAGAAAGTATTGTTTGTGAACGAAGGTGTCACTGATCTGTACCTCAATACGAACAATGTGGTCGGTAGTGTATCTACGCTCTCAAAACCCGCACTGGAATTGGTCGAGCAAACTGTTTGTTTGAAGGAAATGTACAAGTCGATAGTTTATCATTTTCTCGAAAAGTTTGCACAGGCAGCTTCTAAGTGCAATAGGGCTATAACTCGAAACTGAAGAAGGGTCCTTCCTCTGTTTAAAAATGGGAGTAATAACAACCTCTTTCAAGGAAGTAGAGATAGCACCAGAAAACCAGATAGTATTGTACAGCAAGGTAAGGTTTTTGCGTTTCGATTGGTAGGTTTTCCAACATTTTGTACACCGCACGATCAAAACC